ATTGCCGCTCGCTGAAATGCCCACGCACACTCTGGATATTTTTCGTCATTAAGTTCCAAAAGGACGGGATGCCCGGCGTCTTTGGAAACCACTGCCCTGTGTGCACGGCGGTCCAACTAGCCGTGATGCCCCGAGCTCCAATATAAGACCGTGTCGATTCTGTTGTACGATCCAAACTTGAGCGGGGGTTAAAACGCCCAGCGAGAATGTTAATGTTACTTTCCAATGCAACTAAACGGCAAAATGATCAACCAAACCATATTTCTTTGTCTCTTGGCTGAATTAACGTATTTATGCTCGACGATTTGGAAACCATCTTCTAACGCGATGTCGGCCATTTTGTATCACGTTATACCGCATTATATTTGAAGTTATTCAACATATTTTTTGCACAAATGTAGATATCAATTGAAATAAGAGCCATAAAAAAATCATGCTTCTGACAAAAAGACAAGGTCATAAAATATTGTGAAATAAACTCAAACACAATTCTCCCAACAAGTGACGACGACCTTTCTTCTGTAGCTACCAATGTGCTCCTTTTCAATCAACCCCAAAAGCTCACGCATGATATTAATTGACAAAGACAAAAGAAAACAGGACATTTTTGCTTAGTTTTGGCTGGCTTCATAAACGTAAGATGTATTTTGAGTTAGTTTTTGTTTCTTTCCAAAGCATTTGTTATTTTAGTTCGGTAATGAAAATGTTTTTTTTGGGTTTTTTTTTCAATTTTAGTTTTTGTTATTTTGTTAGTTTTCATTTACCATAACAACCTTGGCATACATCCAAATTTTTTGTTTTCGGAAAATGATCGTAGGTAGTAGCACTGTGACATTCATCTTTTCTACTTGTTGGTTCCATTAGCTTGAAGGGTTTCTTTTTTCCGGACAATGGTCTTTTTATGGTGAAGAGAAAAACTTCTAACTTAATAGTTTTGGTTGACCAGAGCCTTATTCTGAAGGTTTTCCAATCCAGTCAGCTGTTTTTAGGACACAAGGAAGCAGTGACAGCTTTGACGAAGGCTGAAGTGATTGCTGCAACAGTCAGCAAGGTAAAAGTTTTTTCTTTTCACCCCTGAAAAATAAATTTTAAAAAATAATCAATTGTCTGATTAAAAAGAAACCATAAACTTAATTTGATCGGAGGTAGTATTAAAAATCTGCAGTAAAGCAGGGGAGCGACGGAAGTAAAGCGATATAGCAGATGAGCACCGTAATAAGACTATGTTCTATTACTGGTCATTTACCAACCAGTATATATTCCAGTAATTTGCCATATGTCATTTATTCCATACTTACAAACGCTATATAAAATTCAAAATTCCACATCACCTCTTAATGTGTCAAGAAATGACCGCTTCAAATTGATTCCAACGAGTTACACGGGCACTAATGAGCGACCGTACCGCCGGGACGATGACGCCAGCTGTTGCCGTGCTTTCTGGGACTCGGAAAATTAGCATTGGCCCTTTTGGACATAAAAAAAATACACATTTTGCCCTCAAGAGTGCCATGCTTGCGGTTTGAAAATATTCATCCATCCGTTCCTCCATTTTCGTCAGCATATTCCCATTCAGGGTTAGCGTTAGCTTATGTGCCGTGTTCCTTGCGAGTGTGTTCATTTTCCATTTCTGTGTTTGACAATCCTTCTCTAAATGTTATCGAAACTCGCGTGGGCGCTCTTATTTTGCCTCGCAACGCCAAGCAAAAAAATAAATAAAAATAATTGACCAAGCTTTTACGTCAAGGTGGCGCTACGCTAGCAGAAACGTTCTAATGACTACAGTCGCCAGAGTTATTTATAGCGGTGCTGAGATGATATTACCTGCGGTGCGGAGGAGAGAGAAGCTTCGCTCTTCTCTCCTCGTGTCAGCGAATTACACGCTAGAAGCGACTGAGGCCATGAAGGGGAGGGCATAGCGAAAGATAATATGTTAGCTTTGGACTTGATCCGCTGAACATACGTTTTTTTTCCTCTCCTTCCAACATAAATTTCCCCGGCTTCTCACCGTCACCGTCGCGGCAGACTTGAATACTCTGGATTCAGCATTTCAAACTTGGTGAATTCCATCCTTTTCACCTCGGGGGCATTATTAATAATCAGTAAAGGGAGTGTGGAGTCAATGATGCATTTGGAAGTTTGAGTGTTTCAGTGTTCCGTAGCGCGGCGGCGACGGCCCGCAGTGGTTGAGCTCGCCTCCACTTCCAGGCATTTACGGTCAGAGGGAGCGTTCGTTCCAGTAGGAGGATGGAAAAAAATCCAATTGAATGACGCCCATGTGGAGCGCTGCGTTTTGTTTTGTTTTCTCACAGCTTCAGCGCACAAAACAGCAAACCAACACGCAACCCGGCGATCGTTGTAAGCTAAACCCGACATGCCAATATAGCTTTGACAAGATTTCACTTTCGCAAACTTTATTTCACTTCTTTGATGCTCCCGTTAGCCAAGTTCGCGCACACTCTGGTCTGATTTCAGGAAAACTTTGTTTCACCAAAAATTTGATGTAAAAGAGAAAATTGATTAAAAAAAATGTCTGGAACAAAGACTTCATTTATAACTTGAACCTTGTTAGTCAATGAGAATGAACTCAATTTGACTGCACGAACTCAAATTGACCACACAAAACATTGGCGGAATCTGCTAAGAATTTTGTGGGATTTTGTACAAAAATGTAGTCAAAATAAAGAGGGGAAAACTGACCCAAATTTTGTCATGAAGACTCTTTTACTAAACTTAATGTTTATACCGAATGAGAAAAAAAAAAATACAATTTGACTGAAATCCTCATTTGCTCCATCCTACGAAAATGTAGCAGGATTTCGTCCCAAAAAAATGCAGAAAAAAAATAAGAAAATCTAAATGAGCAATATTTTTAGGATTTTGCATAAAAACATCCAAAAATGAGCATCAGAATGACCCAAAAAAAATCTTTCTCTATTCACAAATGAGAAACGTAATACTTTCATATTTCTCCGATAAAAATAGCCTTTTTTTTTTTTTTTTAATTAGAAGCGTGTGTGTAATCGAGGGTATTTGCTCACATCTGTTCAATGAGTCCCGGCTTGAACTTTCCACTAAGTTGTCGCGAAAACACGCTGTCGTCACATCATAACTATGAAATGTTTTTGTAAAGCGGGACTAACTTTTAGAGTGTTGGAGGCACGCGACCCCCCCCCCCCCAAACGAACTATACATATTCATATCAGTTTTTCACATTAATGCAAATACGTTTACATCGGAGCCGAGGAAGGCGCCAAAGGCTTCCCTTTTTGCATCCGAGCACGACGCCGCGATGCGATTTCATGTCATGGGATGAAAACAGGGGTAGCGCTTACAAGTTTGCATCCCGACTCCAAACTTTCCATTCGTCACAGCGTCTCGCTCCGGAGATTTTTCTCCCGCCGCCTCCTCCCACACCCCCCCAAAAAAAAGTAAAAATCACGGGAGGACTGACGTTGAAGTGATTTGTCTTGCACATCGCAATGGGGGTGCGTCTTTTATTGTCAAAGGCATCACTGTAGAAAGGCTATTATGCCAGTCTTCCACATCGATTTTCAGCCGACCCGGCACCACTTTGCCGGGGAACAACAAGGTGTCGCTCTGATAATAATCATAATATGTCAAGTATCGCCAGCCATCAGAGATGCTAGTCTCAGTTTAATGATTCTGGGGAAATTGCGGATTACCCGGGATATGAGCGCGAGCCTACAGTTTTCATATAGTGTGGGAGGTTTGCAGGGGCTCTGTATTAGTAATCACAGGGGAGCACCGAGAGGTGGGAGAGAAAATCTGCTTCTTCTCTTCTCTCATTCATCATCGCCGTCCTCTGGTGAGGAAACATGGCAAATGGCCAAATGAATGCACTTCATAAAGCGCAAATGTCTCCTCTGATGTGCCTCTCGCTGAGGATCTGCACAGAGGAGGAGGTGGGGGGCAGGAGGGGGTGAGAGCCACGTCGTTGTTGATGCGACCCTCGGTGGGTTATGCGGGGCGGGGGAAGGGGTAGATTTCCACAGATATATTATTGTCAAACTCTGCTGCCCCCGCTCC